AGCATCTTTGTTTCTGAGAGGCAGCTTGTTAAACTAGAAAAAATAGAAATCTGTCCTCCGTATGTAAATTTAATCTAACTGGAACCTTTTCTGGGAGGTCCTATGGGCTTCTGCTCTTGGCTCTTATCTCTTCTCCTATGCATCCTGGATTTGGCCAGTTCCATTCACAAATATTAATTCATCTATCATCTTTATCCCGACAATGTGCAGATTTACCTTTCCATCCCTGACCAGCCTCCTTCTGTCCAAATTCAAATCTTGGCTTGTTTTCCTGACATCTCCTCATGCATGTCCAACCTTCAGCTTCATCTCAACATGGTCAAAACAGAGCTCTAAATATTTCCACCTAGTGTTTATGGACACCGGGTGTCATTCTTTTTGCTCATGTTTGTAACCTTGGCATGATCTTTGACTAGGCTCTTTCTCTAAAGCCTCCCATCTGGTTCCTCTCTCTGTCTGGCCTCTTTTTCCTGCCTAACATTTCTTAAGACATGATCTGTCCTTTCCCTCCACACACCCCAAATTCTCATATGGGCTGTCATCCTCTTAAGTGTCAGTGGCTTCAGTTGCCTCCTCTCTGACATTTCCACATTCCATCTTGCCCAAGCACAGTCATGCATTCAACAAATTCTGCTGCAAGGATCATTTTCCAGACTCCATTTCCTTCTCTTTTCAGGTCTCCCCAACTACATTTCCTCTTCTACATGAAACACGGACTACTTGTCTTCTCTTTCTAAGGCTCTTTACAAGCCTATGTCCAGCCTCCCTACTATTTTATATGTGATTTTGTGATGCTGAACCCTGCATTTTTGGCAAACAAGGCCAATCTAGATTGTCCATTTAAAAATTTTTCCCACATGCAGCTATATCCCATCAGGTTTTTTCTCCAGTCCGCTGATCATCACCCATGAGGATAAGCTCCTAGTAAACATGTGCAAAGCCATCTTGTTCATCTCCTTCAAATCTCTGCCTAAAGCTCATCTTTTCCTTGACAGACTTGACAAGGATTAGTCACTTTGGGTGCTATAATTGCTGCTGTTCATACTAATCAGTATTTTCTCATTATTCAGTTGTGTTCCTCCATCTACCTCTCAGTATTCACTTGTTGACTCTTTGTTTATAAAGAAATAGTGAGCTCTTTGGAGCTGTCTATGGTAGGCAGTACAAACATGGAGTCTTGTGTTTTAGAGTACTATGAGTGGCAGTGGTGCTGGTAATTATTATTATTATTATTATTACTATTATTACTGTAGCTACTATTATTACTGTTATTATTATTAGTAAATATTATTAGTACTAATGTTCATTATTATTCTTAAACTAAACCACCCAAGCTAGTTTCCATTGATAAGCTGAGTGAAATGTGAGAAGAAAAACAGCACCATGTAAAAAAGAAAAAATATATACATTTTTTAAAGTACATATAATTTTTGCATTAAAAGTAAAATTGTGTTTTGTAATGGGTCTTAAACTTCCCCACATCTGCTTAAAAGGCACTTCAATAGTGGTGTTCTCCATATTAAAAAACCTCTTTTATCCTTCAGCACAGCACTTGTATTGTAATATGTATTATAGCATTTCCTCATATGGTAATTCAAATAATAATAATGACAACCTGTGCCAGTTAATCTGTACCTCTGCCTCTTTATAACCTATGCTTTCTCCATTGGAGGAGCTATTTCTGTTTCTTTTTTAAATGTGAAAATTCAATTAAAGATTGTTATTTGACCCCATCTCTACTCCCCACCAAATACCCGTAAAATCCTGGAAACATCGTGTTAGCAAGAAACTTAAATCATACTAATTGGTTTATTTTAACAGAGAATTGCTTTCAGTTAAAACTGGGCCTGAACTAGAACGCTTTATGTGATTTCCTTGAACTTGGGGAAAGCTAATCATTTGGAACTAAAATGCAGCTCAGTTCTATTCCTATTTTTAAAGCAGAGAGATAGTTAGCCGTGTTTGTCTTAACTCAGGGCAGGGTAGAGATGTACCATATAGACGAACTGAATCAGAGAAACTTTTTTGAGCAAGAGTTCACTTCATTAGATGCTGATGAAATAAGCTCTTACGAAAACTTATGCCTCTCTGATTCAGTTAGTTTATAAGGTGCGTCTCTACCCTGCCTATTTTTAAAGCAGCATCATCAACAGAGAACACTGCAGGGGAAAGCAGAGAACTCCCAAACTCCACATGTATTCTAATAATGTAAATGAACCTCAAGATGAAATGCCAGCTTACTGGCTACCTAGCACTGATTCTGAGGGGCTATCTCGAATGGCGCACAGTTGATGCTTGCCTTTTTCATTTGCTTGCCATGTGGAAGTTTGAAGGGTACTGCTGCAAGTCAGTCCTGCTGGAATGCTTTTAGTGCAGTTTTCCTATAGACAAAGAGGGCTAGAACTTAATGGCAAAGAGTTGAGCTTGGGGCTCCTTTTCACCCTTGGTCAGTCATTTTCCCCCCCAAGTAGCAGCCTTTTGTCAGTCACTGGGCATGTCTATGTCACAACCCAAGGGTGTGATTTTGTGTGCGCGCTCTTCGGCACTGCTAAATTATTTCCCGCCACTAGGAGCTTTCTTTGCAGGGTGCATTTCTTAGTTGCAAAGAGAAATGCACAGTGCAAAGGAGTTCCCGCCATTCGCATGCAAATTTGTGTCCCACTATTGGCCAGTTCTAAATTATTCCCACGTGGCGGCTAGTGACTGGCTTGCTAGCCGTATAAGAGGCTTGAGTGGTTTCCGCCCAAGTTGGAGAACTCCGAGAAGAACCCCGCAAGGGAGGACTCCATAACCATCTGGAGGAGGAGAACTTAACGTCTTGTGAAGATCTCTAAGCACTGCAGAGCCTATCGAACCCAGTGCAGGCTATAGGGGTCTGATCAACCTCTGGCCTCTCCCCGTCGCCGAACGATCCCTCGATGAACCCCTTCCCTGTGCGCAAGTTCCACGGAGCCTAGCAAACTTCGTGCGAGTGCATCCAGAGCTCTACCCGGGTTCGAGTCCTGCAGGTTTATCTTCCCGTCGCCGAAAACCCATTGCGACGTACTCTCGTTCCCTGCAGGTTTGAGTTTTGTTTTGTTTTGTTTTGTAACTGCAAGTCAAGCAAGTTTTCCTGCCTGCACCGCGACCATCTTCGGTGTAAGTAAAATAATCTTTAATCAACCGCTAAGCGTCCGTGCCTAATTCTAGCCTGCCGGCCTGCATTCCCTGACCCGGCGTGTCCGGGCTGCTGGCCACAGCCCGCCGCGCACAGGCCCCCCAAGGGCCTCGGACTGCTCCTGGCCCGCACAGTCTACACATGCATTAGGGTGCTGTAATTACAGCACATTAAGTTTAGTGTGCTAATGCGCAGTAGAATTAGTCTACTGCACTTTTAGTGTCTCATGTAGACGTGCTCACTGGCATTTTTCCCCCCTTTTTTGTGGAGGTGGTTGGAAATTTTTATTTTTCCCATGTGGGTTTTTAAATCTTGATGTTCTGCAAGCCTGATCGTTGATTTATTTTTAGCAGGGATTTACCCTCTGGCAAGGTGTGTTTTCAAGAATGTCCTGGTTGCCAAATACTATACATGAAAGAACTTCACAAGGCCTTCCTGTTTCCTGGACTGAAAATGAAACTAATTTTTTCCCTCTTCTCCCCTCTCCTTTTCTTTCCACCAGTAACCTAAAGTACTAAAGATCCCAAATTTTAAAGGTACTTGTAGTTTGCACATTTGCCTCTCTTCAATCCACTTCATAGCCCTGTGCATGGCAGCCAATGTTTGCATTCATGTTTTGCATTTTTAATCCTGTTTTGGAAAATAAAATATGCCATTTCTAATCATTCCAAAGCTCTTTCCTCTCCCCCTACTTGCACCTCCTGACTGAAATAGAAAGCAGAGCTTATATGGAGTAGATAGCATAAGTCTTGCTCACTTTGGCTAGAATTAAAAAAAAAATAGTGCAGCCTTTTTCAGGCTGTTTCTGGGAATTAAATTAAAATTTCTATTTGGCTGGATTGGATGCCGGAAAAAAGGACGGTGAGCGATAGGAACAAAAGAAAGCTAACCTGAAGAATTTATTTTCTCACTTATCTGTCTACCAGGGAAATTTAGGAATTCAGGAGGCTCTTGATAGTTTAGGCAAGTGTTGTAAATCTCTCATGGTAAACTCAAATTATTATTATGATTTTTACCCAGGGATGCAAGGTATATAAGAAATTGGGTTTGTGTTTCAATATTTATTTGCTCAGGCTGAGTCTGCTGATGCTCAGCTTAAATCAAAGTAAAATCTTCTCCCACATTTGACCACTAAAAATATTATCTGTAAACTTTAAGGTATTTGTATTCACAGGAAAATAAGAGTAGAAGGAACCAATAAAAAAAATCTTCGTATCCCTCCAGCTACATGGTGATCACTTCTACAGCCTAAGGAATACAATAAAGTTGTTCTTCATTTTTGCTTTGTCCTCCTTTTCCTCCATTTATATTTACCTTTTCCTTTCTTCTTTCCCAAGCCTTCATCTCATATACCCTGAAGAAGTTTATTACACACCCTAACTTGAGAAATACTACCTTAAATGTTTCATCTCCCCCTGCAGCATAGGGGATCATTGGTAATTGCCCACCTGATATAGTCTTAGACAGTCATCTATGTGAATGACCTTTGTGTTATCCCACCAACTTTACTTTCATTTCCTTCATTCCTGGGCAGAGCATATGCTTCAGTACCTGTGCGCCACTCCATGTGGTTGTGCCACCATGCTCCCATTAAGCCCTACCAGTGCCAGGAGTTCAAGATCCCCCCAATTTGTTGCTCAAGCTCCTTGCATCGCCAGCATGTTTCATGTACAGGGTCTTCATAAAGTCCTTGTGAACTTTAAACTTTAATAACTTATGTTGTGCACAAGGACTTTATGAAGACCCTGTATAATTCTAATCTTCAGAAAAACAGTCTTGTGTCTTCAGTTTTGCAATACTCCCAGAAGCTTTTCTGAAGGACTGACCCTGGTTTACTTTTCAGATCCTCTCTTCCCAGAAGTAAAACTCGTGACTCTGCAAAGCCCTGCACCGTTGCTCAGACTATGGAAAGTGGATGATAGAAATGGGCCTGTCAGGTTGGTTTTTTCCCTGTGCTCCTGACTCTGTTTAGCTAGGTCGCTTATATGGCTGATTTTTATTTTAGACTGTATCTGGTTGGAACAGTGGTGCTCAACCAGAGGTCTACGGGGCTGGATTTGACCCCTGAAATGATCAGATCTGGCCTGCAGCATAGGGGATCAATGGTAAGCACCTTGGTTCAGCATACCCTTGTCCCTCCCCTGTGCTGTGCCACTGATCCGCTCTGCAGCCAGAGGTAAGCTCTCTTCCTCCTCCCTCTCCCCTTCCCTCCCATTTGATATGGGGTTTTGGCAGCATATAGTGGCAGGGGGCTTTGACAATGGCTTCCCCCTGCTGCAGGTGCTCTCTCCATGCTGCCACTGGGAAAAGTGGTGGTGGTGGCTAGGTTGTAGCACCCACCTGCCAGCTTGTCTTCCTCTGACCCGAACTGGGTCAGTTCAGTCTGCATCCTTAAAAGGTTGCCGACTGCTGCTCTTAAATGTTGTGCTCCACTGGGTTAGACAGTTTTATTAGAGATGGAACCAAACCAGCAAGCTTGGAAACCCAGCTTAATCATAGGTTTTTTTTGGAGTGTTCCTTTTTGGGGGTTTTGACTTCATGCTTCTCTCTGTTTTGCAGACCAAATTTCTGTTCTGAGTTGCTCTGAATTTCAGTGGAGGTACACCAAATTTACACTGGCATTTTGTGAGAGCAGTTCAACTCTAACTTTCTTGTGTGCATCATCCAATACATCTAGCAAAAAATTATCTAGAGCAGTGATTCTCAAACAGGGTTCTGGGGCACCCTGGGGTTGCCATAAGAATGTTTGAAGAGTGCCCTGAGGTGTGGGGAGATAAACAGGCAAGTGCAGGCACAAGTTCATCCTTGCCTAGCTGGTCCTCTGCCCCCACTGCCCAGCTTCTTTGCAAGGAGGTAAGAACTCCATGCGCATGATCAGAGGGCAGGAGAACAGGCCCTACGAGGAGAGGCTGCGAGCCATGGGACTCTTCAGCCTGGAGAAGTGAAGGCTCAGGGGTGACTTGGGGCAGCCTATAAGTACTTAAGGGGTATGCATCAGGACCTGGGGGACCACCTGTTCACCAGAGCACCCCAAGGGATGACAAGGTGCAACGGTCACAAACTCCTCCAAGACCGTTTTAGGCTGGACATAAGGAAAAACTTCTTTACTGCCCACACCCCCAAGGCCTGGAACAGACTGCCTCCAGAGGTGGTGCAGGCATCTACTCTGTACTCTTTTAAGAAACATTTGGATGCTTATCTTGCTGGGATCCTTTGACCCTAGCTGCCTTCTTGCTCCTTGGGCAGGGGGCTGGACCTGATGATCTTACAAGGTCCTTTCCAGCCCTCATGTCTATGAAACATACGAAATATATGAACTGGAATAAATAAGTACATTTTTAAAATGGGATATTGCACAATTCACAAAAGTTTTGGAGGGGTGCCTTGAGTCTGATGGAGGGTGTCTTGAGTTTAGAAAAGGTTGACAACTATACTGGGGGAAAGCTGAGGTACAGAGTACTGTGCCATATCTGAAATGTTGTTTAAAGAAGTCAGGGAGTGGTTTCTTACTAAAGTGTCATAGGTGGGAACTGTCAACACTTTCTTGATCTAGAGAACAGTTTATCTCTGAGAAATCAAATTAAAATTGTTTTTTATAGGCTGATCATGTCATCCTCTTTGTGTCCAGATTGGAGCTGAAAGTTGTACTTTAGATGAGTGCAGCAAAAGGATGATATTCAGTAACTCATAGTTGGCCACTTTCTTATGAAAGGTTCCAGTGGGCACGGCTACACATGCATTAAGGCACCTTTTCTAATGCTCATTACATTTAGTAAATCCAGTGTGAGGTACTAAAGAAATGCACATTAGGTTGCCTTAATATGCAGTAATGAATGAACAGTAGTCTATTCTACTGTGCATTAGCATAATTGTGTGTTTTTTTTTATGTGGCGCTTTAATGCACAGTAAAATAAGCTTCTGCTCATTAAAGCGCACGTGTAGACACACCCAGTTTGGTCTTGCACAATCATGTTCAATTTATTTGTGCAATTTGGAAAATCAGGTTTGTGCCTGCCTGTGTTGTGTTTTAAAAGAGTTTGGTAGCATATGCACAAAGGGAAATACTACAGCCACACACATAAAGAGTTTACACTGAATGTTTATGACTGAAAAACTGTTAGAAGGGCAAAAGATATAAAAGAGTGCTTGCAAATATGATGCTCTAGTGCATGGTTCATTGAAATGAGCACTGATATTTGTTTTTCTGTTTCATTCTAGTTTTTACCAAGTGATTGTACTTCCCTCAGACTTGCAAAGCCGATTTATTTGCAATTCCCTTGCTGCTGCAACATTCTTTAGCAATGCCACCGACACTGCAGGGTATGTGGCAGCTGAATTTCTGGCCAAGGATGTTGCTGACAACATGTCAATCACTCTTGGAGACAGGCATTATTATGGGAAGTTTTATAATGCTCCTTTAAAACGTGGAAGAGATTATTGCATTGTATTGAGAATTATAAGCGAATGGAATAAGGTAATGATTGCTCTTAAATCTTCTCTTTAAGACTTTGTTGAGTGAAATGAATCTAGCTGCAGAAGAGGGGGAAGTTTTAACATTTTTGTTCTATTTCTATATTGATGAAATATGACTGAAATGTAAGTGTCTTGAAATCAACATTTTAACTGCTGGTCGATCTCTCTTCCATTGTAATGCTGAAGTCTAGATGCTAAAATATAAACAAAGGAAAATTTGGTGATGTAAAGCCATCTGGCCTCATGGAGGAGGAAATAGTTCCCTCCAATTTATACATGATGCAGATATCTATATATGAGGTCATAATTTATCCAGACAGTGCTAGGTGGGAGGAGATCTGAATGCCATTCACTGTCAGCGTTAGATTCTCTCTTTAGAACGTATTCCAAATAACCATGATGAGAACTTTTCTGTTTTAACTAGGTTTCAGCTTACAAATAGCATGGCATGTTAACATCAGGTTACATGTAAGACATGACTGACCAGTTAATCACATCTGAAATTGTAACCCAGCCACATGTTAAAGCAATTAATGGTGTCATAAAACAAGAAAAACTGTGGAGCTATTCCACAGGAAGTGTGGAATAACTTTGTGGCTGGTTCCTGTGATGCTATTAATTAAACATATGGCCAGGTTTGTCCCTGTGTCTGGGAATCCTGTCAGCTGATTAGGCTTGCAGTGGTGGGTGCCCACCATGTGCTCCCCTTGGCTGCAGGCTCCCAACTGTGGGAGCTTGCTACTGGCTGGTGCAGAGGGAGCTGGAGATCATGATCCTAAGCTCCCTTTTCACTGGCAATAAAGCATGATGGGATCTAATGCTTGATCCCACAATTAGGCTTTCTGCCATGCATGTGTGACATGGCAGGAAGAGCAATTGTATGGATTGCTGTGATGGGTTTGGGTCCTAGGGATGGCCATGACTCCCGCTAGTAGCCACACAATTCTTGCCCTGGCTCCAACCCAAAGGGCCCTCACCACCTTTGCTCACCCACCACACCTTTGATATTTAGTCCCCCTTGGGCACCTGACCCTCCTTGACCCCCCTCAAGGCACCAGGCCAAACTGAAATGAAAACACAAGCCTTTCTGGCTACAGCTAAATTCCTATCCCAATCCTGCGTGGCTAGCCCTCAGCTTCTTCTCTTTTTGTCTCGGCCAAACCCACTTACAGCCTGTCTCTGTCACAGGCACCTCTGCAGAGCATTTCCATGGGCAGACTGCCTAGCAAGCCTCTGGGGCTGCCTTGTATCTTTCTGACCAGTCTCTCTTCCAATCAGGTGATCCTCCTGGGTTGCTTGCAGGTGCCTCCTAATTAATCTCATTACCTATTTGTCATGGCAACCCAGCTGCAGCTGTACCCTACCTTCCCTGCGTGGGCTCGTTCTCCCCAGGCCCCCTGTTACAATCATGCATCAGATCCTATCATACCTTTACCTGCACATCTGGCAGAGGCCTCAGTCTCCTTTCCCCCTCCCCCTCTTTTTTCCTGCAGGTCTTGTTGGGTGAATGTTTATCATTAGCATTGGTACCTTTATAGAAGGGGCATAAGAGCATGCTTATTGATATGTCAATGTTTTGGAAAAAAGGAACTCTTTGTTAATTAGTTATTGAAGTTAAATGGTGCTAGCAGCCATGAAAGCAAATAATTATAATTAATGTAATTAATTAAATTAAATTAATTTAATTAATGTGTTAAAAATCCATTCCTCCCACAGCTGCTCAAGTGTCACAACTCTTTGTTCTTGTGATATCATTAGGCAGATAAGCACAGGCTTAAGCTTGGCCGCTGCCCCACCCCTCTGCAAGGAAGTAAACACCATAATATATGAATTAGTTTTTGAAATTGGATGCCACTTAATTAATAAAACTTAAGGAGGTGGTGTCTTGAGTCTAGTGAGGGATGCCTTGAATACAAAAAGGTTGAGAATCACTGTCCTCAATTGGCCTGATGGAGTTAAGAAATTCTAAATTCTAATCCAAGTAGCTTCAGCATAATCATCAGTAGTTCCTGGGTACTCAGAACTTTTGAAAATCAGACTACATATTTAAGTACCCACATTTAAAAGTAGGAACCAGACTTGTGGCATCTACATTTTAATTCTTTTTTCATTTTCATCATCCTAAAAACTTGCTTTTCATATACGCGTTTCACATAACTATTCTCTCTCTTTCGTATGACATTTTATCATTAAAACATTCATAGATTAATATCTAAAATTTGATAATCATTCAACTGCTTCAGGGGTGGCTGCATGGATTGATTTTAGATTGCCATCAAATGATGAAATTAAATGATCTAATTTGCCACATAACTATTTAAATGTGCCTTTACTTCTAGTTCCCTTTTTTCATATTTGCATACAAACACATTAAACACTTATTATGAAAGTGTCTTTGCCAGTGTTATTATTTATTAGTCATTTATATTATAGCAGCAGCCAGAGGCCTCTAACTGAATTAGACCCCTATGAAGCTGCACGTAGTACAAAGATGGATTGTTTCAATTTTTTGCTGCTCGCTCTTAAAATTACCAATATAATTTCTTTTATGAGTAGGAAAAACGGTATGAGTAGGAAAACCAGTTCAGCTAAAACTTGAATGAATTGTTTATGATAAAAAAAATTTCTATTAAAATGACCCATACTTGATCCGTTATGGGATCAAGCCTGTGGTGGGATTTTTAACAACCCACCATTTCAATTTAGGGAGAACTAAACTGAATTAACCCCGCACGGCATATACAAGCACCCTTAAAAACCAGGTGCTCATTTACAGCTGGGTCATAGGAGGATGGCCTTTGATACACACCTGGGCAACAAAGCTTGGAGTCACACCTCTGGAGACCTAGCAAGATGGCTTAACTGCTCTGCTACCACACCACATGAGCACAGAGTGTTAGCATTGAAAGTACAGGTTTCACTCAATTTATGTGGTGCACGTGTTCCCAGGAAACTGTGCATAAATCGAATTCACATAAAGGGAACCCAGTTTAAATGTAACAAATAGGGATAGGTTCCCACCGTGGTGAGGGAGGGAGGCTGGGACAAGGGAAGGGGCAAGGGGAGGGGTGCCGCTCCCGGAACTGCACAAGGGAGCAAAGCAGAGGGAACTGTCGGGGGGGGCGGTGCAGCTCTTGCTACAGCAGGGGCTGTGGTGAGTGGGAACAAGCAGAGCCCCAAGGGACACTGGGCACAGCACAGCTTGTCCCCACTCACCCCAGTCTCTGCTGCAGTGGCCCTGGGAGCGGCCAGCACCAGCTGCCTGCAGCCTCTGGGCTGCACTGTGCTCTGCCTGTCCCCCCACACCTGGGTTCCACCTGTCCCTGCTCACCCCAGGTCCTGGGCTGCACTGTGCCGTGGTGCAGGCAGGTGGTGTTGGCTGTTTCTGGGGCTGCTGGAGCACAGGCTGGGGTGAGTGCAGACAAGTGGAGCCCTGGGTGGCACACAGCACAGTGCAGCTTTCCACACTCACGCCAGCCCCTGCTGCAGCAGACCCAGGAGTGGCCAGCATCAGTTGTGGAAGAAACTGTCAGTGGGTGTGGGGCAGGGCGTGGGAGGTGCAGATGACAGCAGGCTGCCTCTGCAGGCTGGGGCCAGCGGCGGCACCAGACTGGGCACTCAGTGTGGCCCTCCCCGAGCACCAGGAAGAGTCTGATGCCACAGCAGCAGCCTGTGATTGTACTGCATGCAGACCCCGGGGCATGAGCCCCCCAGGAAGAGCTTGGCACAGCCCCCTAGCCCACAGCCCTCCCGGGGACTGCGGAGCAGCAAGAGGCCCCCTTCTTCACAGACCAGTAGCCTGTTTGCTTGGGTAGGGCTGGGGGCTTAGAATACTGATACTTAGTCAGGGTGAGGTGTTGTTGGCACATTTGACTTTGTAAAGGTGTAACTTTGTGCCTGATGTCTCTAGTGCCTGATTGTGTTGCAGAAATCCAGCTGAATATCCTTTGCAGGGATTGATATTTGCAAGGTTTATTTGCTGAGTTCCTAAAGACTGTTTTTCCTAAAAGCAATGCTGTATATACATGTTATTTAATATAGTCTAAAGAGCCTAGTTCAGACTGCCCTTGTCTGCATTAACTTTAATCCTCATTCAGTGAAGATGAAGTAATTCAGACTGGAGCCAATTTTAATTTAGAGTACAGATGTTCATGTGTATATAGTGACAGCTGTAGTCTGAATTAAACCTAGAAAAACATAATGTCTATAAACAGCCTATTTCTTTAGTTTGCTAATGAGAATGCCATAAGATAAAGTGTCAAAAGCCTGGCTAAAGTCGAAGTATACCACATCCACTGCTCTCCCCCCATCCACTGAGCCTGTCACCTTATTATACAGGTGGTTAGATATGACTTTTTCTTGGGGAATTCATGCTGATTGCTTCTAATCACCTTGTTCTCCTCCAGGTGCTTCAAAATAGATTCCTTGAAGAGCTCCTCCATGATCTTTTCAGGTGTCATGGTTGGGCTGAGTGGTTTGTAATTCTCTGGATCCTCCTTCCCTTTCTTAAAGATGGGCACTATATTTGCCCTTTTGCAATCATCCAGGACCTCACCGAACCTCCATGAGTTCTCAAAGAGGATAGCCAATGTCTCTGAAATCACTTAGCCAATTCCTTCAGTACCCTTGGATGCATCTCATATGGCCCTGCTGACTTGAAAACATCTAACATCTCTAAGTAATTCCCAACTTGTTCTGCCACTAGCCTGAGCCATTTGTCTTCTTCCCTATCTTTGCTGCCAACTGTGAGTATCATCTGATAGCTGACCCTACTTGTGAAAACTGAAGTAAAAAATACTTCTCTGCAGAATCCTTAACTAGATTGCCTTCTGTATTCCATAAGGGACCTATGGTTTCTTTAGTCTTCATGTTATTCTTTACAAACTTGTAGAATTTTTTTGCCTTTCATGTCCCTTCCCTTCTTATTGCCTTTCATGTCCCTTGCCAGTTGCATCTGAAATCATGCCTTGGCTTTTTTGATCAGCCACACACATGGACAGACTGACTTCCTGATTTTCTCCCTGTGTGCCTGCGCAATACTCTTCTATTCTTCTCTAGTGATATGACCAAGTTTCCTACTTTTATAAGATTCCTTTTATGACTATCAGCTCATTGAAGAGATTGCTACCTAGCCAGGCTGGTCTCCTGTTGCACATCCCATTTTCCCATTGTATCAAGATAGTTTGCTCCTGTGCTTTTACTACAGTTTCCTTAAAGTACAGCCAGTTCTCCTGGACTCCTTTCCCCTTAAAATTGCCTCCCAGGGGTTCCTGCCCAGCAGTTCCCTGAGTTTGCTAAAGTCTGGTTTTCTGAAATCCAGTGTCTTTATTTTTCTGCTCTCCTTCCTCCCTCCCCTTAGAACTATGGAAGTTAACCAAGCCAGAGCAGACTTTCCAGCCCCACTGAATTTTAAAGTTCCAACAGAGTAGAGCTTTTAATTTTTTTATTTATTTATTCATATATTTTTAACAGTCCTTTATCTCAATCTTTTCCTTTTTTAAATAGTTCAAAAGATCCACAGCAAAGACTACATCAAGAAAAAATTAATTGTGTATAGCAAAGCATGCTAAAGCTCAAACTGCAGTCTATAGATGCAAAGATAACTTTGTCCAAGTGTACAAATGCATCATGACTTATTCCTAGGGATCTCTGTAAACCATGGAGGAAATGCCCACTGCAGCAGCTCCTTTAATTTTTTTTAATTTTGCCACTTGCCACACACCCCCTCTTCGACCCCTGTCACTGATCAGTCACTAGGGCTGTGCAAAGCTTTGGGAGGTGATTCGATTTGGACGAGATTCAGCTCGATTTGGTGGCCGAATCTCTGAATCTGAGTCGAATCAGGGGACCAATTTAAAGGTCCAAATCGATTCAAAGCTCTCAGAAACTTTGGCAAAGATTCGGAGAGCTCTGATGATTCGGGCAGTCCCCGGTGGCTGCAGCAGGGAGCTGCAGCCCACTCTGAGCTGGTAAGTGCTAGGGGCGAGCCTGGCTGATTTAGCCGAGTTGATTCGGGACAGTGATTCGAATCACCAAATCAAATCATTGTTCCCCAAAACAGCCGAATCCGAATCCAAAGCTAATACTAGCCGCTTCGCACAGACCTAATCCAGACCTCTTTTGGTTGCGTGGCATATGTATAATGAGCTCTTAGAGCTCCTGACTTGTCAGAGGAGGCTCCTGCCAGAACTCTGCCTCTTCAGGGAACTCTCTGAGTTTACCAGCCAGTTGGTGCAGGTTCTTCCTGGAGGTGCCTGTGGGGTAAGGTGATGCTGCTATTCCCTTGTGCCCTATTTCCCATGCTGAATCCAGGGGCAGGGGAAAAGGAGAGTGGGCAAATGACAGTGGCACTTACTCTGGGGCTATGGAGCTGCATGAAAGCAGTGGCACCAGCAGGATCCTGCCTAAGGCCCCTCTACCAATCAGCAGTAGAGAGGCAAAAACCTTGGCGTATTTAAAACTGTGGTTTTCACTTCCCTAGTGATCAGCAGCAAGCGGCCTGGCTGGTGAAGCGTTTCTGCCAATCAGGGCTGGGGTGGGGAAGAGGGCAAGTGGCAAAATGAAAAAAATTAAAGGAGCCACTACAGGGGGCACTTCCTCTGTGATTTACAGAGATACCTACAGTTATTCCTAATCACTTACATGGAAAGTACAAAAAAAAAGAAATGGGAATTTATATAACAAGAATTTATACTATAAAGATTATATTGGGCTAGCATAAGAACTAATTTAGGAAAAGTGAAGTATAAAATTTTAGGGCTGTCAAACGATTAAAAAATTTGATTGTGATTTGTTGCATGATTAAGAAAATTAGTGGCAATTAATCACAATTTTAATTGCACAGCTAAAAACTCAAAAGTATGAAAAATTATGCGGGTACTTTGTATGGTTAGGGGGTGGGTATAGCGTGTGTGTGTGGGGGGGAATTGTGAAGGTGTGGGGGGGCTGTGGATGTGTGTGTGGGGGCAGAGGTGACCCAAGCAAGGTGTGGGGCCCAAGGCCAATCAGCCCATGTGGGGCCCCACCCCCGCGCTGATCCTGGACCTGAAGAAGCTGCTGCGATCGGCAGCAACGACATCAGCAGTGATGAGAGCAGCGCGGGGGGGGGGGGGGGGGCGAATGGCTGGATGAGGAACCGCTGCTCTGCCCAGCAATATGGGACCCCCAAAAGTGCAGGGCCCGGGATGGTCACCCTGATTCGCCCCCTGGAACGGCCCTGTGTGGGGGGTTTGGAGCCTGGAGAGGGGGGACCCTGCACACCCTGGCAGGATGTGGGGTACTGTGGGTCAGGAGTGAGAGGCAGCAGCAGGATGGGGAGGGCTGTGGCTTAGGAGTGAGGGACAGACAGACACACAGAGACACAGACACATACTCAGACAGACACACACAGACAGCGCCGTGCCGGTAAGTCTGTGGTGGGGAAGGGGTGGGAGGAGAGGGAAGTGACAGAGTGGGGCAGATTGAGGTCCCTACAGTGAGGGAGGGAGTGGGGCAGGTGCTAGGGTGAAGGGGTGTTGCTGCTGCCTTTGCCCCGGGAGCCACTCAATGCTATGTTGTGCCTCCTGCCAGCAGGTGGGAAAGGGATGCACAGGGCGTCCAGCTTGTGGCTCTTGAGGCAAAGGCAGCAGGGCACGGAGCCCCAGCCTGCAGTGGGTAGCCTACCTCTGCCCCACACACAAGTCTGCGGGGCATATGCACCCTATGCCTCCTCCAGGGGTGTGCGCAGTGGCAGGGAGCACTCCTCTCCCCCATGCCTCCAAATGAACTTCCTGCAGCTCCAGCCCATTACCTGCCCTGGCCCCAGTGCCCCATTGACCCCAGCACCTGCCCTATTCCCTCCCTCACTGTGGGGCCCTTGATCTGTTCTACATTCAGCATGCAAGCTGTGGCTGCTCATGTGTGTCTATGCATGCCCCCACTTCCTCCAGCTGCAGCTGCCCAGAGCCCACTCTCAGGCTGCCCCGCAGCCCTCTGCACTGCCACCGCTGCCCCACTGGGTGGCCTAGAGGCAGCAGAGCAGGGCCCAGGTGCAGACTCCAAAACCATGTGCGTGATTAACTCATTAAAAAAAGTTAACTCAAGAACCGATTAATGTGTTAATCGTGCACGTTAACAGCGATTAATTGACAGCCCTATAACATTTGTTTCAAAATTAGAAGGCGCTATGTGGATATTCAAAGGTGAAGTAAAGATAATAAAATATGTTATTTGAGAAATCGTAAGTAACAATGTAATTAAATAGTCCATGATCGCATGTTCATGCTTATATGCATGTGGAATTATAACTACATGGGTAGCCTTAATTTTGATGTTTCCCAGGTTTTGGACGCTCAACAATGAGCTTTAAAGTTTTTTTCATAGGGCTTTTTTGCATGTGTTATAAGAAGAAAGAATGTGTGTATCTAGAAGAAGAGAACTAGGATTTTTTCTCTCTAATCCAGTGAGTTTCAAACTTCTGCAAGGTTCAGAACTCTTTCACATCACTGCTGCTGCCTTTGTGTCAGCTCATATGGTCCAGGCAGGCCAGCCCTCCAATGGCAGCGTACTGCCTAGGCCCACTGTGCCATTATCCCCAGTCTCCAGTAATAGATTCATTTCTTGTTTGAATGCCCTCCCATTTGGTATAGACTCGTTGGTAAATTAGTCTGTGAAAACCCAGTGATTTTATTATGCTTTCTTTTTCAGGTGAAGACACAATCCTGTGCAGTTTGGGCACAAATTAAAAGTAAGGCAGTTTTTCATCTACTGAGAAAACAGAAGCTTGTGCTGCTCTGCATAGTTCTCTGTCAGCTTAAAATTAACAGTTGCCACAGCAGTTTAATTCACAGCTAGTAATGAAGGTACATGGAAGACTGTAAGGATCAGAGGCAGCATGTTTGCTTGGTTCTATAATGTTTACAGAGTTGGATTTCTAAAAATGATATTTCTGACACTTTTCACAACTTTAAAAATTAAGCTGCAGCTTTTCACACCCATGTTCTTGCCTGCTGAAAAACTGGGCATAATATGCTCAATACTTAAAAAGTTTGAAACATTGGTGACTGGTGCCTCCTGAGTCTGGGTGGGCACCAGCAGATCATGACCCAGGGGGGTCCCCCAGCAGCCAGCTGGTGACCGGGGTGGAGTGGGGAAGGGGTCCTCCAGTGACCAGCTGGCAACTGGGGGCTCTGATGTGCTGCCAGCAGAGCCAATTTCGGGGGGGGGGGCACTACCGCTCTCTGTGCTCCCCTACCAGCTGGAGTGCTTGCTCAGGGGGGACACCAGTGCTCTCAAGGGGGGCACGTGCGCCTCCCCCTCTCCCCTGTGTCACGCCTATGCTTTGAAATGCACATTTACAAGGCTTCCAGTGCATTTTTAAAGGCCTGTTTTGAAAATTTGGGCTACAATGTCCTTCACTATTTGTTTAGCTTCTAGAAACCATCTTTAAGGTGTCCAGATGAGTTCTCCTCTTTGGGAGAAGAATTGAGTCACAGAAAGATTGGAAAGGCACATCTCATGCTGATATCTTCTGAGCAGAAGATGATGGGGAATAGTCTCCATGCTACATGGATAATTTTGGGGACCCATCCTTTATGGGAACCACCCTTTATGCAGTTATGTATTTACATCCAGCTGCTTCATTTTCTTTCTCTTAGGGCACACCCTTGTTTTAGTTCTTGATGAAAGGTTCAAGGATTATGATACAATTTTCAAAAGTGTTCAGCATTGTTCTGACTGCTTTCAGTGAGAGCTCACCAGTGCACAGAACTGGGTATACACCGAAAATGTTTAGAAAATCTCCTAATGCATTACAACTCCTTTCTATGGTTTAGACCTGTAATTCATCACTGTGGTGAATGGTTCCGTATCTAGATAGTCCTTCCTGCTGTGGCTCAAGTGACAATAAAAAGTTCCTAGCCAAGTGGTAATCATAGATTTTGTGATGTGGAAGCTCGTCCTCTCCGCGTAGACCCATAGAACAATTCCACCAAATAAGAATGTGCCATTTTTGTTAAGTCATCCTCCCAACTGCAACAAAAGCTCTGACAGGACACAGGACTTTAAAGACATAGGATCGATGATCTAGGAGTCTATGGAGATTCTGGAAAGAAAGTGGTAACTTGTGGCTGCCATAAAAGGGAAAGGTGGTCAATTAAGCATTTTTCTGATTCAAACAAGATGTTCTCACATCATTCTTACTAACATTAGTATTTGTGCTGCAGCAGGTCTATCATGCCTATGTTTGACTTCTATTCTGCTACTGCTGCCACAATTGCCATTTAAAAAAAAAGATGCCAAGATTGAAAGAATTAGGAAGTGAGGGTTTGAGCCGGTAAATGAAGCATTAGACTCTATCGGCATTGGGGACATGGGCTAACCTGAAACAAGTTGATGGTGAAAGGGAAAAATAGTGATACCAATTGTTAAAATAAAAAAAAAAGGAAGGCAGGGGTAGGTATGGACTGCGTAATCCCTTTTGAATAATGTGTTGTTAATCTCATTTAATCAGTTGGCCACTACCCATGGGTTGGTCATTTCTATCACTACTTGATGGAGCAATAAATGAGCATAAGAGTTTTGTTACGCTGCTTTAACTTTGAGCCTACCTAGGCGGTGAATCACAAGACCCAAGCCCTGCTGTTTAGTATTTGTTCATTTTAATTGTTTGAAATTTCCCTTTCAGATATATCACCCACTCTAGAGCCCTTGACTGCTGTTGGACTAGGGTCAGTTGCTTCTGTTTGTTTTATACTGTTCCTGTCCTTCTCAGCAGCACGGTATGTACATGTTAACAATTAATTTCAGTTTGGTTTGTGTATGCTGTCAAACAGTCTTTATTAACCAGCCTGCTCATTATAAGGTCCCTCAAGTGGTTACAAGCTTCATGAACATTTCCCAACCTGCTCACCTTTGTGAGACAAATCCATACCTTGATTTGACTAGCCAGTAAAATACACATTCATTTGTTCTCAAGTTTTGGGGCTGGGGAGTGAGGGGAAGAAGAGGAGGAAATAAGGGTGTTGTTATACATTAGAATTACCATGTGCTAGCTCCATCTAAGGAATACTTGACACAGTTCAAGTTAGCACATGCTGTGAGCAGTGGCATGTTAAAGGTTAATACCCTCTCCAATGTGCATAGCTCTGACCAGCCACTAGAGAGCTAGCAAGCAGGGCCATGGCTAGGAGTTGCCAAGTATGCTCCATTTCTGCTCCACTTGCCAGCTCTCTAGCAGCAATATAAGGCATGGAGGAAGGGGGAAATGGAACAACGCCCCCCTCCCCACCATCCCGCACCACTTGGATCACACACTTCACTGCCTGTATCAACTCATATTGTCTCTCTCTGCTGAAATCACTCCTCCCCTTCCCTCCTCCCCTTCCCCCCTTCTTCCTTCCCCCTTCCTCTGCACCCTTTGTCTTCCCCTCCCACACTCTCCTGCAGCTATCTCCAGCTGTCAGTTCAGGACATAAGAGTAGGGGAGGATAGCTAGTCCATGTGGGGATGGCTGGGAGCGGTGCCTCTTGGGATACTTGAGGACTACAAATTGCAGGTATTAGCCTTGTGGAGCAAACTGAAGTTACTACAACATGAGTTGCCTAACACTAGCTAAAGGTCATCCTCACCTGAAGAGGATTAACTCTGAGCTCATAGACTCATAGAAAATGAGGGTTGGAAGGGACCTCAGGAGGTCATCTAATTCAACCCCCTGCTCAAAGCAGGACCATCCCCACCTAGATCATCCCAGCCAAAGCTTTGTCCAGCTGGTAGGGTACTTAGTTCATCTTTTCCTGCCTTAATGTGTTTTGTCTTAAGAGCATTAAACATGTTTGAAAGGGAATGTTTAACTACAGCCAAAGCAAACACAAAACAAAGAAAAGGAGGTTCATCTAATGGTTTCAAATGAGGGATGTAGGTGCTAAGGTGCACAGCTGACAGCTGACAGCAGAAGCACTTATGGCATGGCCCGTCAGATTCCAACGAATATGCAAATTCTGTTAAATACCTTGCCACAAGGACACAGGAAAGGAAAGGGATTTGAATGAGAGGCATTTCAATTTATTGGGGGCTAGATTAAAGTTTATACTTTGCACTGCCGCGAGGAGAAAGTAGCCATGCTTAATAGATACGGTGTTTTCCTGTACCTAGTCTGTGATTACTGTCACTGGTCAACATTCAAAAATTCCCCTTCACTTAAATGCATCTTTCATCCTGTCTCTCAGTATGGCTTTATCCAGTAACATTTCTCTTGGAGAATTTTCTATTGTTCTTCTCACATCCAATAATCTGTGTTTTTCAAGTTGCAGGATACAGTTTTGATCGATGTATATGTATTCAGAATGGCACAAGAAAAGAGCTTTCCTTTCATCAGGAGGCAGGGAGTAGAGCGGGGGGTAAGGGGTGTTATTTGTGGATATCTACATTTTCATCAGTCTTCTTTGATTGCAGATTCCAAAAGTAGATATTCCAAAGACTGTGCGCGTTCTTGTCAGCAATTAATGAAGAAAGTAATATCAGTTTTTCCTTAGCAATAGAGCATAATCAACTTTAAAAATTTAAGGTTTGCCCTCATTTATTTATGTGTTTATGAGAGCAGCAGTTAGCTGTGTTAATTTGAAGTCAGGTGGAAGACAGCGCTTTTGAAAGTAACTGGTTCAGAAAGGTATAAGCTTTCATAGAAAGAGGCTGTTGCTTACAAATCTTGTGCTTCTCTGAACCAGTTAGTTTCTAAGGTGCCACTTTGCCCTGCTTTCTGACTGTCTATTTTTGGGAACATGTATTGACTAACTGACTTTCAAGGTAGACTGAGATAGTGGGATTATTCCAAGGTCTGTGCTGACTTTTGACAAAGGATCCGTTGAAGCAAAAAATACATCCAGAGTTGTATTGCGAGTATGAGGGATCTGCAGTTGTCTCCGTTCTAGGAGAAATGAATAAAGCAGGCTACTGAGATACAGACACTGTCTCTGCATGTATTGGAATGTAAATGCCAGGGAGAGAGAAGTGAAAGTATCATGTTTGCCCAAGAATAAATGGGTGTAAAGTGGCTATGACTAAATTCAGGGTGGAAATTAGAAGAAAGTGTTAGACCACCAGAGGAGAGAGTTTCTGGAACAGCCTTCTGACAAGAGTAGCTGAGGCAGACCACCCATTTATGCTTTAAGGTGACATTTGTTAAATCTGAATGGGATTACAGGGTGTGTTTGGCTGCAGCACTGGTGTGCTAGGCTAGGTGACTCAGAAGGGCCATTCCAGTCCTGTGTTCATATAGCCACAATGCACTCACCTGAATGAACCCGTTCTCCCATTTCGGTGGGGTCCAGTGGAGTGCTCATCAGAAACTAAAGCAGTCCTTTCCAGAGGTATCCTGGAAGGAGACAGATCCTGGAGGGAAACAACCTCTGCTGTTCTCTGAGGTGCGGCCCACTCTAACTCAGGATCTCATTAGTCTGTGAGTTCCTGCATATGAGGTGTTTTGCAATACATTTTCCATCCCCTGGGAAATCATCAAGCTCTGGGCCAGAGCCCAGTAACAAGCAACTGAACATTTTACCCCAACCCCAATTTGCTTACTGATTCACCAATAAGATTACACAATCATTGTATGGCAGAGCAGGTGGGGTGGACCTGCACCTCTTGCTTTCAGCTGCCACACAGCCTCACAAGCAGTAAAAGTCTTTGAAGCAAACATTTCAGGCAGAAGGCAGGGCAAGCTGGCACCTTATAGACCAACTGGTTGAGAGAGGCATGAGTTTTCATAGGCAACAGTCTGCTTCGTCAGATGCCATTTCATGTTTCACATGTTCCGTAGCATCTGACGAAATAGGCTGTAACGTGCAACAGCTCATGCTTCTCTGACCAGGTTAGTCTGTATGACCCCTCTACACATGCAGGTAAAAGCGTGATAGGATCTAATACACAATCCACACAATTGTGCCTTTTGCCATGCCACACATGGTAAGAAGTGTGTGGGTGTGGGGTGCAGCTGGGGCTCTGAGTCCCACATGGAAATAGACTCGCAGTCCTGGCTGCAGGTGGGACGGAGCCAAGGCTGTGAATCCTGTCAGCTGTGGGACTGCGATCTCCCACACCCTACAGCAGGGAGATCACAGGTGCTGCAGTCTCCCAGCCATGGGACCACACCATGCACCTCTGAGGCAGGGAGATCACAGCTGTGTCTTGCTGCTGCTGAATCCCAGCTACATATGCAAATTAAAGCTCGATAGCAGTCAGCTATAAAGTTAGTGCACATTTTTGAGATCTAACTTTATAACTGGTTGGACCTTTTTATGTTGTGATAGATACTTTGCACATGTAGTTGATCTCAGTTTAATTGTGCAATTAACCTGTTAGTTGCATAATAGCTGTAATGTGTAGAGGGGGCTAAGGTGCTATCCTGCTCTACCTTATTCTTTAACTTCAGACTAACATGGCTAACTACCTCTCTCGTAACCCCCTTTTTTTTTAAAGTTTTCTATTACTGGACTGCCTGTGATGTTGTGGGATATTATTTTTGCTTCTAATGGCAAGGATCACTTTATTTTAATATGTACCAGCTTCGTTTAAGTGCCAAATGCCTGTGGTGTCAAGAATCCCAGAGGCTGAGATTATGAGTTTGCACTGAAAAACTCCACTGCCAATTACACTGGGAGTGCCTGCATGAAGAATTGCTCATTGCTGTCAAGGAGGGAGCCTACCATCCAGCTCAGAGAGCTTGCACTTTGAGTGTTCATATCCACATAGAATAAGAGAACTCTTCATAATTTAAAAATATTTATTAGCCCAATTTTACTTATTAATGTTTCTTATTGTACCCTCACCTCTTTCTAATTCCCACTCCTGATATTTGGCTTTCTGATACATGTCAGCGCCCGTGCAGACATGTAAAGGCAGTGGCCAGACTGCGAAACTCTTGTAAACTGGGCTTGTACCTAAGCTTTCTGGATGCCAAGGTTAATCTAGGTCAGTGGACCAAACTTTCAGTAGAACATTGCCTTCAAAAGTGCATTTGTAATATGCTGCAGCTCTTTACAGTAGGTTAGTGGTCCATGAATATGCTGCTCTTTGAATCTGAAGTCATATAATGTTTAGCATTTATAATAGCACCTTATAGCTTCAAAGTACTCTGGAAACACATCCCCCCCCCACCCATTTATCTTACCAATAAGCAATGAGGAGATTCCCTGTTACTTATGGCTTGAACTCTTATTTGAATGTTTGGTTTTTAACTGGATTTTCCTCCTCTCTTCTCCAGCTTTTTTCTCTACAGAACAGTACCCGTACCTCCAACTACACTGGCCATAGGGGTGTCTTCCTATGAGACTGTACGTTTATCCAGTACCCAGGAAACAGAAAGGGGTGGGGATCATCTCATCTTTCATAGAGACTGACAGTGCATCCCTTCTCAAATGCCTTTTTCCCCCAGCGTAGGTAACTTTGGGGGGGGGCATGGAGGGGGACCATGCCCTGCCTGAGATTGGTTGTCACCGCCGCTGGCTTCTGCGGGCAGTCACCACTTGCCATCACCCCTTCCCCCCACTACCACCGCTGCTGGCTTGTGTGGGCAGTTGCCACTTGCCGCCGGCAGCTTCTGCCGGTGGTTGCCAGTTGCCACTTGCAAACACACACCCCCACCGCTGCCGGCTTCTGCAGGCGGTCACTGCTTGCCGCCCCACCACTGACACTGCCGACACTGCTGCCCACAAATGGTGTCCCCCCGGTCTCGGGAGGCACCAGTTGTTCATGTCCCCAGTACCCTCTGAAACTAAAATCCATGTCAGTACAGTATTGGTGTATCTGTACATCCTACATGCATCTTTGTATGATACTGAAAGTTAAAAGCCTGTACCCTCCTTCATTTTCAAGTGTGCTGGAGGTAATGTATAACTTCCCCAAACTGTATATGTTAGAAGGAGCCCCCAGGTCATTAACAATGCCTCTGATGCATTGGGCAACAGCTTTTCATTGCTCTAGAAATGTGGAGTCCTGGTATCACAGAACATCTTGCATATCATTGCTGTTACCCATACAGTAAGTTACTGTTATCCCTTGGTTGCACTGCAGTAATTCCCTCTGATGAGAGAGCAGCGCTGCCTTTTCCTGGTAAATTAAAACCCAGGAGCCACTTTTGCATGTCCAGCAGCTACAAAGGTAGAAAGCTTAATCAATTAAGAGTAATGATATCTTTAGTAATAACTGGGAAGGTGTTACAGTTTAGTCACACATTGCACTTAAAGAAGTGTTTCCAAACAGATTTGTTCAAGTTGCTACGATTATTGCTAATAACAATTAGCAATTACTGGTAACAATGCAGAAATAATGTGTAGATCTATAAAACCGCAGTTTGCTAAACAACTGTGTAGCATTAATGGGTTGTGAAATTCTTTTAATAAGGGGCTACATGCTTTTAATTGCAATCTACTTAATCTCTGTATCATAATTACAGTTGTGGAAAATCATAAAAATCATATGTTGCTTAATGAGTCTGTGTGTGTAACATCTGGTTAAAATCACCCAGTATGGATACAATTAGCTGATTTGCTGTGGTCCATTCAGGGTTAGCAAATTAAATTTTTCCACATATTCCCCAAGTGCCTTTGCTATGCTCCGAGTCCCTGTTCAGAAGTAATTGTTTCAGAATCAGAACATCAGCAAAAATAATTATTGTAATTGTCAAAATAAAGAAAAACCTGTTTGTTTTTCAATGCTTTGGCTTGCTTTCCCAAACTATGTTCAAGTTTTCATTTGTGTCCTCACTCTGTCACTCAGCCATGCTAATTAGCCCATCCAAAGCACTGAACATGCTCAGCTGCACTTGCCAGGTGGGTAGACATGGCCAAATGGACTTCAGTAGTGCAAAATGAGGAATTTGCAAGGAGTATGTTCCAGTGGATAGGGTGCTAAAGAGGGAGTGACAAGACCCAGAACCCCAGGTAAGGAAGGGTTCACCCATTAGCCAAACAGTGGATGTGGGTGTTAACAGCATCACAGGTTAGGGAAGGGACTTATCTGTAATTTATACAGGAAGCCAGGTTGCCTGATTTGTTCTCAGCAGGGTAAAGTGGCCCATGTGGTGTGCCATGCTGCCATGGGTGCATTGCTTCCCAGTACCTGTGCTAACTTGCTGAGAACTACCTGCAGTGAGCATTGCAGATGGGGTTTTTTTTCCTTCTTCCTGTGAGTTTGCTCAAGCTTCTTCTGTTTTAACTTGGAAGGCAGAGAGGGAAGTAATATCACTAATTAGCATTTGTTCTCTTTGGAACATTTTGCAAACACTGATTAATTCCTCTTGATTTGGAAGTCTCTCTCTTTCATGAGTGTTTTCAGCTACTCTGAAGTTTTCCTACATAAACTTTTAACCTGAAAAGTTTGCCTAAACATCATTAAACAAGTGAGTACATACAATAAGCATAAATTAAAAGGTTTCCCTATTTTTTAACAGGAACAGCCTTGTGAAATTAGAATAAACATATTTACTTCTGGGTGTTTTGCCCTCTAAAGCAAGCCTGAACTGGGTACAATCCTAATGATATCCTGTAGATCAAATTCCTTGTGTCTCCATTAACTGGATCTGTGCTTTGGCAGTGAGAATTATTATACCATAAATATGAACTTTTGGCTTTCTAATTAGCCATTTTTGCAAAGTATTTGATTTATAGAAAGCAAAAGAAAAGAGGATTCAATAAGGCCATTCTGGAGGGGATTTAGAATTGAAACATCTATGTTCCAGAGCACTTATTTACTAGCTTTTTAGATTTAAAATATTTATTTATGATTCTAGTAGACATTTTTGCAGCCCTTCATTTTGTGTGTGCATCCTGCCCAGTCCATTTCCCACACATGGTCACGCTGTAAGAATGAAGGTTTCATATGCCTAGGTTTCCATGGATTCTAAACACATTTCCAAGGGTCTTTCACTATCATGGATTGATGATTAACATTGAAAGTGGTTCATTGCCACATTTTTTAAATGAATCTCTTGATTTCGTAGCTAGCATATATACACCACTTTCATATATAGTAAGCCCGTCTGCTATAGACTTGGATCCCAATTGAAGCACGTTGACCTCACCCAGATTTAAATGCTTCTTCCTAACACTCCACAGCATTATTTTGAGAAAATGAATAGTGTGGAATAGGGTGGCATTTCCTCACTAACCTTGCAGACAACAACTTGATCGCAGCTGGCTTGTATGCCAATGGAGAACAGTTTTCTTCCATCTTATTTATGACAGCCTTTCAAGTGTTTGCAAATTGTCATGTTTCCCACTTAATCTCTTTTTCTCCAAACTAAACATACCTTGTTCCATCAACCCTTCCTCATAAGCATTCCTATTTCAACCCCTTTATCATCTTCATCACTAGCCTCTTGATCTTCTCCTAATTTTTGTCTGTCCTTCTTAAAATGCAGTGTCCAAAGCTGGACACAGTCCTCCAACTGGGACCTATCCAGGGCCAAACAGAGTGGCACTATTGCTTTCTGTGTCTCATATATAATGCTTCATGTAATGCAACCCCAAACTGCACTTGCTTTTTTTGCAACAACTTTGTTTGCTGACAGTCAGCATTCAAGGAGTGTGGCCTTGCCTGTGGTCTAGTTTTCTAGATCACAGTGGAGCCCTCTTCACCTGGGTGGAGGCAGTAGCAACAGCACAGATCATTCTGGGATTATGACCTCTTCTCTTGTTGGAAACCTCCTTGTTCCTTGTGACACATCACTTAGAAAAGATTAAAGCCTCATTGTCAGACCACTTCCGATAAACCTAAGCCTGGTGTGATACTCGGGCACTTTTTAAAGGTAACACTGACTCCTTTAAAAGACTTCCAAACAGATGCCTAGGAAAATTAGTCTATGATCTCAGTCCTGTTTCTGTAGTGGACAGTAACAGGTGTTGGCATCACAAAAATCACCTTCACAATCTTTGTCAGGGAAGCTCAGGGCAGCATGCCCCTAGCAATGCCCTCCTGGTTCCAATGGTTTTTCAAGAACAGGGTTATGGTGGAGTAAGTAGGATACTTTTGCTGACATGACTTGTGCAGGTGCCATTCTGGAAACAGTTCAAGGGCTTCAGTTTCTAGCCTGGTACCCTTCACAGTCCTGAGCAAATAGTTGCTTACTCTGGAACTTTTCCATTTTCCAGATTCATGTGGTTTCTTTTCAGTAGATACTTCATTTGTTTTGTGTAGAATCTGAACCAAAGAGACTTTTTATTGGGATTTTTCAACCTGGAGTCAGCACAGTTGGGATATTTCAGTGGTAACTGTCAAAATTATATTTCTCATGGGGTTTTAATTAAGATAAAAAAACCCGTAATCTTTTTGTGCTATTGTTGCCATCTTGTTTTAAATGCCTCAAGTTTTGCAAGGCACCTTACATCACAAAAAGACAGAGTCCCTGCCTCAAGGAACTTTCAAAGTAATAATAGGTGTGGGAATGACAAGTGGAGATGGGAAAGAGCAACCGATCTAAAGATCTTAGGCAGTTAGCTTAATTGTGAACATCTGACACATGGGGATCCAGGGGGTGGATTTTCAAAGGCACAGCTGAGAATTAGTCCTCACTGTTTGTTCACTTTGGATCTGTATGTGTCTCCTACTAACTTATCTCAAGTTGGTTTGGTTTCACTTTGCTTTTTATAATTAAGGCTATTTCTATAGGTAATGTAAGACTCTGCTTTAGTGTGTGTCATGGAATGACTGAGGGGTAAGGAAAGATCCAAAGGAAGAGAATGGCCTGAGAGACTGGGAATTACCATTCCAAGGATATGGGCATAAATTAGCATCCCCATGTGAATCATATAAACCTGTTATAACTTGTAATAACAGGTTTATATGATATATATAACAACTTATAATTTGTGACTTCTTCAGTTTTGCTTTATAAGAGACTGATACCCAGTCAGCAAACAGAATGTGATTGTTAATCAGCACACGATGAAATTCCATTTTGCATCAAGTTTACTTGTGCGCCACAGATGTTGAGTTCACTGTAGGTATTTTAATGTCAGATGTGAAATACACATCTCTCTTCCCATCACCTGAAACATAAACAACAGACACAAAAAGCTGAACCAGCTGGGCTCGTAGCACAAATAAGAACATCTACTCACAGACAGTGAAACAATGCTTTGGCAGTATTTCTATACTCCACCAGTGTACCATATGTCCCAGAGGCAAACAGATACTTCAGTCCTCTTACGTGATGAACAGGAAGGTGTTCGTGTCACTGCATGTTAGATGAAATCCACACCTCTCAAATACAGTCTGCATTTTCTGTTGTTTTGGTCTATTGGAAAATTATTTTTATTAAGGTAAACTTAGTACTAAATGAGGCCAACTTGCTCTGGTATTTTGAGGAATCTGGCAGGAAATGCACAACTGCAGTATTGCATGATGCAAGCCTCTGCTCTGAGTGTACATGTCTTGGGAGAATTGGCTTGCTTAACGTTATGGGCCAGGTTCTCACACAGTGTAATTTATCATCATTCTTTTGAAGCCAGTGGAATGATATGTCTTTACATAAGCTCAAAATCTGATGTTATCTTTAACTTGAAACAAATACCAAGACATGAGGCATCATGCAGTTTCACAGGGAAATTATAAATAGTAACTATGTGCGTTTTTCCTTATATGGTCAATTGAGTATATCATGGACCTCTTCAAAATGATTATTTATCTCTGGGTTTGTGTTGTGGGGAAGCTATTATTAGGGGAAGCTAAGTGGTGAATTTACAGCATACTAGCTGGATTGCACTAATGCCCTGTGTGGATGGTCTGAGGGCCTTTGTGCCACATTGCTTACTGCACTTTGAAAACAGAGGGAGCTACTAATTGCCCTTGGTGCCTAGTACCTTCCCTGTGAGGACCAGCCCTACACAGTGCAAAGTTGATGCTTTCCATTTCATGTATGGACTTAAATTCTGTCAATGGAGCTTTGTGCTAATGATGAGATCCATCCATGTCATACCTAGTTTTTCCAGCCTTTCCACCTAAGGCTTGCTCTCCAAATGCTTTATCATCTGTGTCACTTACCTCTGGGTCCTCTTTGGTTTCTCAATGCCTCTCATTTCTATGGGAAGATAAAATCCCTGCTGTTGTTCCCCTGAAGAGCACCCTCCACTGGTAAATCCAGCAGCATTAGCAAGCAATCCAATGGAAGTTCTTGAGATGGTTTTGAATGGGGACCCTGGCTCAGTTCAGCTACAGTGTATTTGCTGCTGGAAATTCAGGGAATACCTTAGGGCAGTGGTTTTCAACCTCTTTTCATTTGTGGACCCCTAAAAATTTTTGAAAGGAGGTGCAGACCCCTTTGAATTGTAATGATGGGTATTCAGACACTTTAGTCATCTTTTGTGGACCCCTTACACCAGGGGTCAGCAACCCCCAGCATGCGTGCCATTAGTGGCACACGGAGACATTTTTCCTGGCAAGCTGGGAGGCACACAAAGAAATTGTTTGTTTGTTTGTTTGTTTTTATGTTGCTGCTCCAGGCTGTCCTGTGCAGCCACAAGTACCAGTGCCGGGGCAGGCCCCGGGGCAGAGCCAGGGGAGCGCAGGCAGGGCAGCCCGCCCCATGCTCCCAGGCTGCGCCCTCCAGCCCAGCCAGCCCCTGGAGGGAGCTGCCCAGGCAGGCAGACTCCCTGTCCCACCCGGGGCAGCACTGAGGTGCCGAGTGCTGGGGCCAGGCAGTTGGGACAGGGTCTGGGCAGTGTCGGGGGGGG